TGCTCATTTTAGCTTCTGCTCTGCTCATTTTAGCTTCTGCTCTGCTCGTTTTAGCTTCTGCTCTGCTCATTTTAGCTTCTGTTCTGTTCATTTTAGCTTCTGTTCTGCTCATTTTAGCTACTGTTCTGCTCATTTTAGCTTCTGCTCTGCTCATTTTAGCTTCTGCTCTGTTCATTTTAGCTTCTGCTCTGCTCATTTTAGCTTCTGTTCTGCTCAGTGAAAGGTCAAATAAGGAACAATAGAGTTTCTAATCTGAAAAATTAAACTAAACATGACAATAATAATTTTACAAACACAAACATTTTTATATATTTTTTAAAACGACTTTTATGAATAATTCTGATTAAGCTCTTTCCTGGTTGTTTTAAAGCCATTTGATAAAAGCTAAATATTTAAAATGTTTAGCTGCACAGATTTGTACAGTAGACTGAACCCTCTCGTCAGTTTGTTGAACAAATCTGAGGTTTAGTGAAGAAGAACGTTCAGTCTGACCTCCAGCTCTCCTCAGACTGGACGGGAACCTGCAGAGGCTGCAGAACATGTGGCAGAACTTGTTTGTGGACCTGAAGAGCCTCCTGTCCTGGCAGTACCTGATGAGAGACATCCACGTCATCAACTCCTGGAACGTCACCATGGTAACGACACAACACCTGAAAAAACACAGAAAACCCTCAACACAGGAGGAGATGATAAAACATGTTTTTTTCTCATTAAGCTGTTTTTTTTTTGTTTGTTTTAGATGTTCGTCCTCTGTCAAAGTTACATTTCTTTAAATAAACTATTATTCTACAGCATGATAATTTGGATCCATAACTGAGTTAACTCTTACTTTAGTCAGAAATATGAATTGATGTGGTTTAAAAATCATCTACTGGTACAATTAATAAAAATCAATGAGTTAAAAGTAAGTTCTAATTTCTACTTAACTGATTTTTTTTGTTTGGGAAACAATGTCTTATATACAAAAAATGTAAAAAAAAAAACAAACCTGTCTAATTTCTTTTCGTTTCGACTCTCGCTTCAAAGAAAAACAAAAATCCACAACTTTTTAAATTTCCCCTGAAAAAATTCAACGCGGATCCTTTTAGGCGTGACACTGTTGGTATATTAATTTTGACGCCAGCAGGGTTACACTTTTTGGTTTCACCCAAAAAGGGGCGGGGCCATTTGAACGAGCAGGAAGTGTTATGACATTAGTCCACTTGACATGATTAGATGCTTTGTCATGTCAACTTTATGTACTGACGATGTATTGTTTTAGGATATTTTGCAACTTATCGACGACTACAGAACCGACGTACTGTGAAATGACAGAGTTTGTGAATCGTAAATTTCCTGTCATGAGTTGTGATTACGACTGTTTTCTTTCAGTTCAAGACTCTGAGGGTGGACGAGTACCGGCTGGCCCTGAGGAACCTAGAGCAGCACTACCAGGACTTCCTAAGGGACAGCCAGGACTCTCAGATGTTTGGTGCTGAGGACCGGATGCAGGTGGAGTCCAACTACAACCGAGCCAACCAGCACTACCAGACCATGGTCAGCTCTGCAGAACAAGGTCTGTATCACCACAAACACAGACCCAAACAGCTTCACACTCATGCTTTAGATCATTCAAACATGAATTCATCTGGATCATGTGTGGGTCGGTTCTGTGTTTAAATTAACCGTTGGGTTCACGTTGCAGGCTTCGAGCCCCCCAGAACAGGTAAGGGTGTCTGACGGTGCAGTCGGAGCTTTTGATTGGCTGATGATTTGGACTGAATGTGCTCAACCATCTTCATAATCCTCCCAGGTTTCATTAATCTGCCTAACATCACGGTGCATGTTTTGTAGCAGCTGATTTCAGAGAATGAACACATGAACTAATGAAAGAATTAACACCTAATGAAATGTTGTCGACGTGATTTTAAAGTTTTAATTCAGGCTGGATTTAAACAGAAACACTTGGATTTACAGGAAGGTTTGGATTGTTTTCTTCAGAATACAAATCAAACGATTTGGTGCTGAAACTTTAAGAAGAACGTTGGATTTTTGTGCATCTTTTTGCAAACGTAACGTTAATCTAAGAAGCCGTGACGGGTTCATTCTGTCACTTTAACCTAAACTGGTTTTAAACCATTAACCAGCTCTTTCATCCAACCAGGAGACCAAAACGAGTCCGTGTGTAAAACCTACCTGACCAAGATCAAAGACCTCCGTCTGAAGCTGGAAGGTTGTGAGACCCGAACCGTGACTCGACTCCGTCAGCCGGTGGACAAGGAGCCGCTGAAGGCCTGCGCCCTGAAGACCGCAGAGCAGATGGTACATGAAGGGGACTATCGAGCACAAAAACAGGTTCTGGGTCAGTGAGAAGCTCTGTTGAGTCGTCTTCTGGTTTCTTTGGAACAGAAAGTCCAGTCAGAGCTGGAGGGCTTGAAGAAAGACCTGAACTCCATCGCTGAGAAGACGGAGGAGGTCCTGATGTCTCCTCAGCAGTCCAGCTCCGCCCCCATGCTGCACTCCGAGCTGGACCTCACCCTGAAGAAGATGGACCACGTCTACGGACTGTCCTCCGTCTACCTGGACAAGTGAGTGTCCTCAGACCGTCCAGCCTGCGTTGGACCGATCAGGGTCTTCAGTGTGAACTTCCTGTTGGACCACTGAAAGGTTTCATGTGTTCTGGTCCGTGACCCTGTTGGTGTTCCATGTTCAAACCTCAGGCTGAAAACCATCGATGTGGTGATCAGAAACACCAAGGAGGCCGAAGATTCTCTGAAGAGCTACGAGACTCGTCTGCGGGACGTCAGTAAGGTTCCTGCTGACGAGAAGGAGGTGGAGGAGCAGCGCTCCCAGCTGAAGGTAGGACATGCATGTGGACAGATTAACACTTACGAGGAGGACTAACTGCTCCTGGGTCGGTGCTGTGAGCGGCAGGTTCAGAGTCCAGTTCTCGTCAGCGAGTCGTGTTTTACACCGAACACCGCAGGTTTCTACGTTAAAATAAAAACCTTGCTCTCTCCTCCGACAGTCGGCGCGAGCTGAAGCGGAAACCGACCAGGCGACCTTTGACCGGCTGCAGGACGAGCTGCGGAGGGCGGCGGCCATCAGCGACAAGATGGCGAGCATCCACAGCGAGCGTGACGCCGAGCTGGACCACTACCGCCAGCTGGTGGGCGGGCTGCTGGAGCGATGGCAGGCCGTGTTCGCTCAGATCGACCTCAGGCTGCAGGAACTCGAGCTCCTTGGACGGAAGATGAAGACGTACCGCGATAAGTACGAGGCGCTGATCCGCTGGCTGGAAGAGGCTCGGCAGAGGCAGGAGAAGGTCCAGTCCGTCCCCGTTGGAGACGGGAAGGCCCTCCGGGAGCAGCTGGCAGAGGAGAAGGTATCCTGACAGACGAGCCTGAAGACTCTGACGCGTCGTTCAGTTTAATTAACGTGTGGAAGATAATTCGTGTTGTCCCAACATCTTGGTCTGATGGTCGTTGCAGAAACTTCTGGAGGAAATCGAGAAAAACAAAGGCGAAGTTGAAGGTTGCCAGAAAAACGCCAAAGCTTACATCGATTCTGTGAAGGTCCGTTCTGCCGTCTGCAGCCTTCTGACAGTTTTGGGTTTCTTCCCGGGTTTGACTTGTGTGGTTCTGGTTCTCCTCTGAAGGATTATGAGCTCCTCATATTGACGTACAAAGCTCTCCAGGATCCCATCGCGTCTCCTGTGAAGAAACCTCGCCTGGAGTGTGCATCCGATGACATCATCCAGGAGGTTCGTGTCGATCTAAAACTTGTGTCTGCGCAGCGTCTATCTCCACAACAAACGTTAAGAAGAAGCTCTTGGAGACACTCCGAGTTCTTCTGACGCAGTCATCCCAACATCCCAGTCTGACCTACAATATTTATGTAGATTGTGAAGAGAGTGGGTCCTAATACAGAGCCTTGGGGCCCACCCTCTTTACAATCTACATAGACAATGTAGGTCGGAGCATCCCTGGTGCATCCTTACATCTCTATGCTGATGACACAGTTGTTTACTGTCGAGCTAACACAGTTGCTAATGTTGTCCAGTTTTTACAGTTTGCTTTAGACATCAGTCAGATTTGTTCCGTAATAATACTAAAACTACTACGGCTAATGCTGCAACTGCTAATCCTAATCCTAATTCTACTAATGCTAATTCCGTTAAGGTCAATTTTTCTACAGATACTTGTACTAATACTAAGATTACTATTGATAATACTTATTACATGAATGCTAATACTAGTTCTACCACTGTTAACGCTAATTTTGCTAATACCAATTTTAATTGAAAGCTAACTGCTAGTTTTAGCTTTAAGATGATCTTTTCTTTGTGTTTAGCTAACTACTTTTTACTTCTAACCTTTAGCTAGAATTTAGCTACATTTAGTAGAAGATTTAATTTGGCTAGCATGTTGCTATTTTTAGTTAGCATTTTGCTCCTTTTAACTTTCACCTCAGTTTTAGCTTCTTTAGAAATGTCCAGCTTTTGAGCGGTCTAATTATAAATGTTTTACAAACTCTTCTTATTTCCACGCTCTTCGTCCTTCTGCAGCTTCTACATCTAATCTTCAGTATTCGTGTCCTCTTCAGCTCGTGTGTCTCTCATGTAGGACTGGTGGTTCTGTCTTGAACCCTGACGGAGCACGTCAAACTCCTGTAGACCTCCATGGTCCGGGCTCAGGATTCTCCTCTGTCAAACTGAAAATAAAGGAGCAGCTGAAGATGTTTCTGCTCAGATCGTGAACTTTATGAAATTAAACGTATAAATGGTTGTTTTTTGTCTTTCAGTACGTGACGCTGAGAACCCGCTACAGCGAGCTGCTGACGCTCGCCAGCCAGTACGTTAAGTTCATCACGGACACGCAGCGCCGCCTGGAGGACGAGGAGGTCAGTGCACCTTCACGGGGTTCTGGTCCTTCTCAGGGTAATGTTTGGGAAATCTTTCACCATCAAAATGTGCAGAAACATTTAGTTTGGCCGGACGCGGACGTCTCATCCGGTTGTGGATGGACTTTACATCTGAACATCTTTCATCCGGCTCTCACTGATTCTGAGTTCAGCCACGTTTTAACACCCCCCCACCCCCACAACTGTTTTTATTTCCTGGCTTCTTTATGTCCTTGAACCCCCCTCAGCTGCCTGCCTCCTCAGAAACTTTATTTTTCTAACTTTCTGTCATTTTTATGTGCTTCGTCATGATGAATGTTAGTCACACGCTTAGGAGACGAGTTTTCTCCAGAGCACAAGGTATTTGAAACGAATTCTCAGACCATCTCATCGGGTGTCGTCTGTGTCGAAGGGAAGGTTCACAGATCTGTAGAAACCCGTCAGAAGTTTTTATTCTGATGAACCCGAGGGACTGAAGGAACTTGGTTCAAACGATAAACAAATATCCTGCTTATGATGGATAAACTTTCTTAAAGCTGTAAACTGCTCTGCTGAATGAAACCAATCAAACGGTGAAAAAGAATCGTATCGTTGGTCAGTGTTCAGAGGTCGGGCCTGCAGGATGTGATCAAAGCCTCTGACTCGAGCTGCTCAGGGATAACCATCTTGCAATAATTACATTCCAGCAGGTACAACTGTGAGGTTTTATTGCTGCTGTCCCTGGGTACCGGTAGATTGGACCCTCGGCTGGCTGCTGATGTGGGGACAAAGAGGCCGGTCTCAGAAGGCTTCAGGTCTGGGTTCAGAATGAGCCCGAGTCCTGGAGGCTCTTCTAGACCAGGATGGAGAGCCCTTCTCCTGGTTTGACTGAAGAAAGGACCAAAGGAACGCGGGGTTGAAGTCAACCTGCAGCCGTTACGCCTCTGAGCCGTCGAGTGAGGCGGTGAGAGAACGGTTCCTGGCGATTTCTGGAAGGATCAGTTCGTTTTGTAGATGAAGGTGCTCGACACGTTTCAACTCTTCACACCTCGTTTTAACTGCAGGCATAAAGTTTCTCAGTATTACAAGACCCAGCTCAGGTTGTGGTTTATGACTGGCCGTGGGGGCGGGGCTAAAGTGGGCGGAGCTTCAGATGCATAGCAGAGAGGAAGGGCACAGGGCTTCAGATCTGTTTCCCTCCTAATGGGTCTGAATGTGGAGCTGTTTTATTACAAATACTCCTTCTTATCAACGTGTCATCAATATCAGCTGAAACGTGCCGAGCTGGACCCTTGTGGTCCGGCTGTGGCTAAATTCAGGATTTTAGTTTAGACACGTTCATCCAAGTTCGTTAAAGTTGGAAAGGGTCACCAGTTTTGTAAAGAAATGTTTAAAGATATTGAAAGTGTTCTTGGTGGGCGAAGCTCCAACAGGAAGAGACTTTTTATCAGTAAAATATTTCAGCTCTTCTGACATGATTCGTCCAGTAAATGGAATTAGGAGTTTTTGCAGAAACACATATTTGGTGAAACGACAGGTTTCAGTGACGGTGAACCTTCCTGACGGCGTCGTCTCTTCATTTGTGTTTTGATCCACGGTTATTTTGATTTTTTGTCCGTTCCTCGGCTCACGCTGGGTTTGCTGCGTCGCTGAAACGTTGTAAAGAAAAACCTTCAGCTCTGAAGACGCGCTCAGACGTTTAAGATTTAATGTTTGAGTCGTTTCAGACACTTCGGCTGTTTTTCTGTCTGTGTTTAATATTGTTTGCTCCTCCTGACTCTTCCTTCTTTATTATTTGATTTACTTTAAAATCTTAGCGATTTGACCGACTGAGCCTAAAATCTGATTATTCACAAAGTTCCTGCAGAAAGTTTTACTTTTCAATAAAATAAAAGTTTTTTCTGACCAGCTTCGTCCAATCAGGCGGCTTCCTGTTTTCAGATTAAAACTAAAAGCTACAAAATAATTTGACTTGAAATAAGCTGCAGTTTCTGAGTGCTGAACGTCAGCTGAACTCTAGCTAAAAGACAAAAGTAGCAAAACAATGTCATAGTCAAAAATAGGATGTTAGCTAAAGGCTAAAAGTAGCTAAAGTTGGCTAAAAGCTAAACTAACAACAAGCTACCTTAATGGGTTGCTAAAAGCTAAAAGTAGCAAAAGGCTAGCTACACTTTAAAATAGCCAAACTTAACTTAAGGCTAAAAGAAGAAACAGTTGACTAAAAATAGCTAAAGTTGACTAAAAGCTAAACTAACAACTAGCTACCTTAAAGTGTCAAAAGGGTTGCGGGGTTGCTAAGCTAAAAGTAGCAAAAGGCTAGCTAACAGTTGGCTCAAACTGTTACTAGCAGAAGACGGCCTAAAAATATCAACATGGTTTATAGAAGCTAAAAATAGAAGAAAAATAACAAAAAGTAGGAAAATGGTAGCTAAAAGCAGGACGATGCTAGCTAAAGGTCAACAGTAGTGTCATGTTAGTTAAAATTAGCTAAAGGCTAGCTGAACTCTAAAAAGTAACACAAGTTTGCTTCAAACTAAACTAACAAAAAGCTACTTAAAATATGAAAAAGGGTGCTAGAAGCTAAAAAGCTTTATAAAAGAGATAAAAGTAGCCAAAGTTGTCTAAAAGCCGAACTAGCTAAAAGCTACCTAAAAGCATCAGAAGTGTTGATAGAAGCTAAAAATAGTAGAATTCTAATTAAAAGCTAAAAGTTAACAAACTGAAGCTTCAAGCTAGGCAGAATAAAAGTAGCAAAATAATAGCTAAAAGCTAAAGTAGCAGAAGAAGAGCCAGCAGCTGAAGCAGATTTTAACATTTAAGAAATGAAAAGAGCTCCATGTGAGGAAGTTATTTATAAATAAAGTGAAAGTCTGAAAAGTATAAAAATGACAAACAGCTAAAGTGACAGCAACAATCAGCTGAACGAGTCGGCCGAGGTCTCGTCAGACACGAACGCCTGACGCTTTATTAGTTTGAGTAAAGTGCCTTTGATCTTACGGCCACGACACAAATAACATTCACAGCTGGTGAAATGAAACGGGTCCGTGAAGCCGAGCGCGGTGTGGTTCTGTGCCGTGACGTGTTGTTCTGTGTTTCATGCGTGTCGTGAACGTGACCAACATTTCCCAACACGGTTCCCTTCTTTTAAATTACACGTGAACAAATGGCCGACAGTCGTGGAGAAACCAAGTTCTGCCTCTTTGATTTGAAGTTTAATATTTCAGCACAAAGAGAACGACGTCACTTTAAACGTTTGGCACCGAGCACCAAACTGAAACTTTACACACGAACGAGGTTTCACTTGCGTTTCACCATGACTGGACCGGACCGTAGCGTTCTGTAGCGACACGTTTCTGCTCCTGCATGTGCACGTCTAACACCTCCTCTCTGCTTCCTCTCAAACAGAAAGCCTCCGAGAAGCTGAAGGAGGAGGAAAGGAGAAAACTGGCCGAGATCCAGGCCGAGTTAGAGGAGAAGAAGCAGCTGGCTGAAGCTCAGGCCCAGTCCGTGGCCAAAGCCGAGCAGGAAGCTCTGCAGCTGCAGCTGAAGATGAAGGAAGACGCCAACAGGAGGCAGGACGTGGCGGCGGACTCAGAGAAGCAGAAACAGAACATCCAGCAGGAGCTGCAGCATCTGAAGTGTCTGTCCGAGCAGGAGATCTCGTCTAAGAGCCAGCAGCTGGAGGAGGCGCTGCTCAGCAGGACCAAGATCGAAGAGGAGATCCACATCATCAGAGTTCAGCTAGAGACCACCCTGAAACAGAAAGCCACAGCCGAAGGAGAGCTCCAGACGCTCCGAGACAAGGCCGCCGAGGCCGAGAAGCTCAGGAAGTCCGCTCAGGACGAGGCCGAGAGGCTCCGCAAGCAGGTGGCCGAGGAGGCCCAGAAGAAGAAGAGCGCCGAGGACGAGCTGAAGCGTAAATCTGAAGCAGAGAAAGAGGCGGCCAAGCAGAAACAGAAGGCCCTGGAGGAGCTGCAGAAGTTCAAGATGCAGGCTGAGGAGGCGGAGCGGCGCATGAAGCAGGCTGAGGAGGAGAAGGTGCGGCACATCAAAGTGGTGGAGGAGGTGGCGCAGCAGGCCGCTGCCACCCAGCTGCAAAGCAGAGCCGCGTCGTTCACCGAGAAGGCAACGGAGCTGGAGAAATCCCTGAAGAAGGAGCAGGGGACCGTCCTCCAGCTGCAGGAGGAGGCCGACAGGCTCAGGAGGCAGCAGGAGGAGGCCGACAGAGCCAGGGAGCGAGCCGAACAGGAGCTGGAAGCGTGGAGGCAGAAGGCCAACGAGGCTCTCCGCCTGAGGCTGCAGGCCGAGGAGGAGGCTCAGAGGAAGAGCCAGGACCAGGAGGAGGCCGAGCGGCAGAAGGTGGAAGCAGAGCGAGACGCTAAGAGGCGGGCGAAGGCCGAAGACGCGGCGCTGAAGCAGAAAGAAAACGCAGAAAAGGAGCTGGAAACCCAGAGACAGACGTCGGAACGGATCGCTCAGCAGAAACTGTCCGCGGAGCAGGAGTGCATCCGCCTGAAGGCCGACTTCGAGCACGCCGAGCAGCAGAGGGGCCTCCTGGAGAGCGAGCTGCAGCGCCTGAAACACGAGGTGAGCGCCGCAGAGGAGCAGAGGAAACGGCTGGAGGAGGAGCTGGCCAGGGTCCGGAGCGAGATGGACGCCCTGCTGCAGGTGAAGATTCAAACCGAGAAGGAGACGCTGTCCAAAACAGAGAAGAGCAAGCAGCTCCTGGAGGCCGAAGCCCTGAAGATGAAGCAGCTGGCGGATGAAGCTGCCCGCCTGAGGTCCGTCGCCGAAGAGGCAAAGAAGCAGCGGCAGACGGCAGAAGACGAGGCGGCGCGGCAAAGAGCCGAGGCCGAGAAGATCCTCAAGGAGAAGCTGTCTGCCATCAACGAGGCGACGCGAGTAAAGACCGAGGCCGAGATCGCCCTGAAAGCTAAAGAAGCCGAGAACGAGAGGCTGAAGAGGAAAGCTGAGGAGGAGGCGTATCAGAGGAAGCTGCTGGAGGAGCAGGCTGCCCAGCACAAACAGGAGATCACCGAGAAGATCACCCAGCTGAAGAGCTCCTCCGACTCCGAGCTGGAGAGACAGAAGAGCATGGTGGAGGAAACGCTGAGGCAGAGGAAGGTGGTGGAGGAGGAGATTCACATCATCAGGATCAACTTTGAGAAAGCGTCCAAGGAGAAGTCGGAGCTGGAGCTGGAGCTGAAGAAGCTGAAGGACCTCGCCGACGAGACGCAGAAAAGCAAACTGAAAGCTGAAGAGGAGGTGGAGAAGCTGAAGAAGCTGGCGGCGGAAGAGGAGAAGAAGAGGCAAGAAGCAGAGGAGAAGGTGAAGAGGATCGCAGCCGCGGAGGAGGAGGCGGCTCGACAACGAAAAGCTGCTGAGGAGGAAGTGGAGCGGCTCAAACAGAAAGCTGCCGAAGCTAACGAGCAGAGAGCCGAGGCGGAGAAGGAGGCGCAGCGGCAGGTCCTCCTGGCCAAAGAGGCGGCGCAGAAATGCAGCACGGCAGAACAGAAAGCTCAAGATGTTCTCAGCAAGAACCAAGAAGATGCTTCTGCTCAGAAAAAGATGAAAGATGAGTTTGAAAAAGCTAAAGAGCTGGCCGAGACGGCCGAGAAGGCCAAGGAGAAAGCAGAGAAGGAGGCCGGCGTGCTCCGGCAGAAAGCAGAGGAGGCCGAAAAACTGAAAACAGCTGCAGAGCAGGAAGCTGCGAAGCAAGCCGAAGCTCAGAAAGATGCAGAGCAGCTGAAGAAGGAGGCCGTGGAGGAGGCAAAGAGACGCGCTGCAGCCGAGGCGGCGGCGCTGAAGCAGAAGCAGCAGGCCGACGCAGAGATGGCCAAACACAAGAAGGAGGCCGAGGAGGCCCTGCAGCAGAAGTCTCAGGTGGAGAAGGAGCTCTCGGTCATCAAGGTGCAGCTGGACCAAACCGATGAGCAGAAGGAGGTGCTGAACGCTGAGCTCCAGAGGGTCAAGGCCGAAGTTAACGACGCTGTCAGACAGAAGGCGCTGGTGGAGGAAGAACTGTCCAGAGTCAAGGTCCAGATGGACGAGCTCCTCAAGATCAAGCTGAAGATCGAGGAGGAAAACCAGCTCCTCATGCAGAAGGACAAAGATCTCAGCCAGAAGCTGCTTTTAGACGAGGCAGAGAAGATGAAGAAGCTGGCAGCCGAAGCTGCTCGGCTCAACGTGGCGGCTGAGGAGGCGGCGAGGCAGAGGCAGAGCGCCGAGGCCGAGCTGGCCCAACAACGAGCGCTCGCCGACAAGATGCTGAAGGAGAAGATGCAGGCCATCCAGGAGGCCTCGAAGCTGAAGGCTGAAGCAGAGGAGCTGCAGAAACTGAAGGACCAGGCCCAAGAAAAGGCTCAAAAACTGCAGGAGGACAAACAACAGATCCAGCAGCGCCTCCAGAAGGAGACGCAGGACTTCCAAAAGTCCCTGGAGGCGGAGAAGAAGAGGCAGCAGGCGGTGTCCGCCGAGGCCGAGCAGCTGAAGCTCCGAGTCAAAGAGCTCAGCGACGCTCAGGCCAGAGCCGAAGAGGAGGCCGAGAAGTTCAAAAACCAGGCTGACGAAGCTAAAGCTCGTCTTCAGGACTCTGAGAAACCAGTGACGGACGGCGTGGTGCAGAAGCTGGAGACCCAGAGGCTGCAGAGCACGCGAGAAGCCGACGCTTTGAAGACCTCCATCTCTGAGCTGGAGAAGGAGAGGGAGAGGCTGAAAGGAGAAGCAGACGAGCTGCAGAGAAGAACCCAACAGGTCCGTGTCTCAAACACGTGCACTGACGAACCGTGTTCAGGCTTTTAGAGCAAAACTGCTCCTTGAGAACCTTCAGAGAGTTTTGTTTGCTTAGAAAGCAGAAGTCGAGACTTCAATCATCTTAAATAAGTAAATTTAGACTTTTATTTTTATTATTATTATCCTGGGACAACTAAAAATCATTAAGTCTGTAAATGTAAGCACTCAAACCTCAGAGTGGGCGGGGTTAACGCACGGTGAATTGAAAGAGATTTTGTTTGAGACAGAACACCTTTTAGGAATAAAACATCATTTATAGTAATAATCTAATGTATAATATTACATAGTTAATGGAAGATGTACTTTATGTAAAACGTTGTTAATATAATGGAATAGTGTAATATACAACATGTTCTATTATATTGTTACTTTTTGGGATCTTTAAGGTTGAGTTTGATCCTAGAAACACAAACAGTCACTTACCAGGTAAAACAAAGAACAACCGTCTTATTTTAATCTAAAGTTTCACACGTGTTTAATTTACACTTCCTAAGTTTCACTGATAAAATGCACGTTCTCATCAGCGTATTTTATTTTTAATCAAGAATACTGGGGGCCAGGAGGAGATTATTCAGGGCCACGTTTGGTCCAAACTAAGATTTGAACACGTAGATTTATTTTTGTCCCTGATACGAATCAAAAACTCACGTTGTTCAGTTCTGAGCTGGGAAAAGATGAAAACATCGAGCGAGACTTAACGTCCAAACTCAGCGGCCGAGTGTCGAGCAAAAATATTTCAGAGGCGTCGCAAAGAACAAAGTCGAATTTGTAAAAGTTTGACAAAAAATGAAGAAGCGGGTGAAGGTGACGGACGGATAGATGGACGACAACATAGGGTTAAATCAGGTCGTCTGCACAGCTTCTTTTTGGAAGAAACGTTTCGTCTTTCATCCGAAAGACTTCGTGAGGCCTGCCAACCACATCTGTCTAATAAACTGCACCTCCTTCGTGTTTTTTGTTGTTGTTGTAAAAAAACATGGTTAAAAACGTCTAAACAACTTCTGATCGTCTGCGACAGCAGCTGAGCTGGATCTGAAATCACTGCAGACGTCTGGCGTCGACTCGACGTCTGCGTTTAGCCTCAAGGTGTTCTGCTTTTGATGTTTTATGATTTTAGTGCAAAACTTTAAAATGTCCATATAAAAACACTGAGATTCAACTGCAAAATGTTTTCATGCTTGCTACATGTTAGCGCTAGCAGCTGCTTGTTCTGATGCTAATTTAAGCTAATTAACCCTGCTAAGCTAACCCTGCTAAGCTAACCCTGCTAACAGTCGACAAAGCTTCAATAAATCGTTTCTACAAATAACGAACCATTCTTTCACATATTTATCAAATAACTGATGACTCATCCATGAACTGTTTCTTTCTTAACAGATGGCCGAAGCCCAACTGGAGCAGATTGAGCAGCAGAAGGTCGTGCTTCAGCAGTCGTTCCTCACAGAGAAGGAAGCGTTGCTGAAAAGAGAAAAGACTGTTGAAGACGAGAAGAAGAAGCTGGAGAAGCAGTTGGAGGAGGAGGCGAAGAAGGCCAAAGCTCTCAAAGATGAACAGGAGCGTCAGCGCGCTCTGATGGAGGAGGAGAGGAAGAAGCTGCAGGCCATCATGGAGGAAGCTGTGAGGAAGCAGAAGGAGGCCGAAGCTGAAATGAAGAACAAACAGAAAGAAATGGAAGTTCTTGAAAAGAAAAAACCAGAGCAGGAAAAACTCTTGGAAGAGGAGAACGAAAAGCTCAGAGAGAAACTGCAGAGTCTCCAAGGTGCTTCTAAAGCAGGCGTTTCTGAAACGAAGGAGATCGACGTTCAGACCGATGAGGTTCCTGAAGAGCAGCTGGTTCCCACGACAGCTGCGGGAGCCACAAAGAAAGTGTTTAATGGTTCTGTGGAAGTGGGCAGCGTAAAGAAAGACGGACAAGCGCGGTTAGCGTTCGATGGAATTAGAGAGAAAGTTCCTGCTGAAAGGCTTCACAGCATTGGTGTCCTCACCAAGAAGGACTTGGACAAACTGAAAAAGGGCAAAGTTTCAGTGCAAGACCTCGAAAAGACCGACAAGATTAGGTCATGTCTCAAGGGCCAGAGCTGCGTCGGAGGGATCTTGACTCCTTCCAAAGAGAAGATGAGCGTCTATAAGGCCATGACCGAGAACAAGATTACTCCCGGCTCTGCAGCAATGCTCCTGGAAGCTCAGGCCGCCTCCGGCTACATCGTTGATCCAGTCAAAAATAAACTTCTCTCTGTAGATGAAGCTGTTAAAGAGGAACTGATCGGCCCAGAACTCCATGACAAGCTGCTGTCTGCTGAACGAGCAGCCACTGGATTTAAAGACCCATACACGGGAGCCAAAATCTCTCTGTTCGAGGCCATGAAGAAGGGTCTGATAGAAAAAGAGCAGGCTACCAAGTTCCTAGATGTGCAGCTTGCGACCGGTGGCATCGTTGACCCCATCAACAGTCACAGGGTGCCACTTCAGACCGCCTACAAGCAGGGCCAGTTTGACACAGACATGAACAAGAACCTCACTGATCCCAGCGACGACTGCAAGTTATTCATCGACCCCAGCACTCAGGAGCAACTCACCTACAAACAGTTGGTGGAGAAGTGCAGCAGAGATTCAGAGACTGGGCTGCTGATATTACCGGTGACAGAGAAAGCTGCTCAGGGCGAGAGAACATACACAGACGCAGAAACTAAAGAGCTGTTCAGTACATCTAACATTGACATTCCATTTGGAAGATTCAAAGGAAAAACCGTCACCATCTGGGAGGTGATAAACTCAGAGTATTTCACGGAGGAGCAGAGGAGAGAACTGATCCGTCAGTACAAGTCTGGTAAGATCACCGTGGAAAAGATCATCAAAATCGTCATCACTGTTGTGGAAGATAAAGACAAGGACAGTGGAAATGTCTTCAATGGTTTGAGGGCTCCAGTCTCTGCCAGTGAGCTGTTAGAGTCCAAGATTATAAACAAAGATTTGTTCAACAAATTAAGTAATGGTAAGATCTCAGTTAAAGAGGTTTCTGCCCTGGACCCGGTGAAGAAGGCTCTGCAAGGAACACCCAGCATTGCTGGACTGTTGAATGAACCAACCAAAGAGAAAATGCCTTTCTACCAAGCCATGAAACAGGACCTCCTCTCACCAGAGACAGCCGTGAATCTTCTTGAAGCTCAAGCAGCGACAGGATTTATGGTTGATCCTGTGAAAAATGAGAGGATGCCCGTTGACGAGGCTGTTAAAGCGGGTCTTGTTGGTCCAGAGCTCCATGAGCGCCTCTTGTCCGCAGAGAGAGCCATCAGCGGCTTCAAAGACCCATACACTGGGAAAACTGTGTCTGTTTTTGAAGCCATGGGCAAAGGCCTCATAAAGAAAGACCAGGGCATGCGTCTGCTAGAAGCCCAGCTTTCAACAGGTGGAGTTATCGATCCAATTAAAAGCTACCGGATCCCAGACGAGGTTGCCTGCAAGCGTGGATATTTTGATGAGGGAATCAGCAAAACCTTGAATCAAAACACAGATGAAACAAAAGTATTTTATGATCCCAACACACATGAGGGTGCAACCTACACACAGCTCATGAAACAATGTGTCACAGACAAAGAAACTGGACTCCCATTGCTTCCCCTCTCAAAGAAAGCAAAAGAAGTCCAGCAGATCACAGAGGTTAAAACAAAAGAAGCCCTGAATGAAGCAACCATGGAGCTGGAGTATGGACCATTCAAAGGGAGAAAAGTCACGATCTGGGAGATCATAAACTCTGAATACATCACGGAGGAGCAGAGAATCGAACTGATCCGCCAGTACAGAATGGGACTGGTAACAATTGAAAAGTTGATAAAGATTGTGATAACGACAGTTGATGAAAAAGAGGATAAAACAAAGACAGAACCTTGTTTTCATGGCCTTCGAGCACCAGTCACCGCCAGCTCACTGCTTGATTCCAGCATCATCGACAAGACTACATTTGATCAACTCCTGCAGAATAAAAAGACACCTAAAGAAGTCAGTGAAACTGATGAAGTCAGGAAGTACCTGCAAGGCACAGACCGCATTGATGGAATCACCATGGCAGATACAGATGACAAGTTCAGCATATATCAGGCAATGAAAAAGCATGTTCTGCAACATAACACTGGGCTGGCGCTTCTTGAGGCCCAAGCTGGTACTGGATTTATAACTGAGCCAGTTAAAAACCTGAAATACTCTGTGGATGACGCTGTGAAGGTTGGAGTTGTTGGCCCAGAGCTTCACGAGAAGCTTCTTTCAGCTGAAAAAGCCGTGACTGGATACAAGGATCCATACACAGGCAAAAAGATCTCACTATTCCAAGCCATGAAGAAGGATCTTGTGCTGAGGGAGCACGCTATTCCTATTTTGGAAGCTCAGTTTACAACAGGAGGTATCGTTGATCCAGTCAGTAGCCATCGTGTTCCCAACGATGTGGCCATTCAACTTGGCTATTTCAGCAAAGAAATGATGAAGTCTTTCAATGAACCGACAGCTGATGTTAAAGGTTTCACTGATCCCAACACCAGTGGAAGCGTGACTTACCGCCAGCTCCTAGAGAAATGCACAAGAGACCCCACCTCTGGCCTGTGCTACCTGCCTCTGTCAAAAATTGAAGCTCCTGCACTATCTGAGAAATCATTCGAGTACACGGAGGAGCAAGCCCAAACAGATCTAGCCAACACTCAAATCGAGATCCCACATAAGAACTTTGAAGGAAAGAGCATGAGCATTTGGGAGGTGATGAACTCAAATGTGCTTCCAGAAAAAGAGAGGCGCCGCCTCATGGAACAGTATCGCATGGGCCAAATCACAAAGGAAAGAATGATCATCATCATCATTGAAATCATTGAACAGAGAGAGGTTTCTGAGCAGGGCCTGTCATGTGATGTGATCAGACGAAAGGTTACGATCGAGGAGCTGTACAGTGCTCGGATCATTGATTTGAACACATACAATCTCCTGAAACAAGAAAAGTTGAGTATTCGTGAGGTGATGGAAATGCAGTCAGTCAAGCAGTACCTCTTTGGCACTGGATGCATTGCTGGGATTATGTCAGACAGTCCTCCCAGGATTAGCATTTACCAGGCCATGAAGAATGGACAGATTAAGCCTGAAGTTGCTCTGAAACTCCTCGAGGCCCAAGCAGCAACAGGATTCATGATGGACCCTGTGAAAGATCAGCTTCTAACAGTTGATGAAGCTGTACGTAAAGGTCTTGTTGGCCCTGAACTCCATGATAAACTTCTCTCAGCTGAGCGGGCAGTAACTGGTTACAAAGATCCATACAGTGGAAAGGTCATTTCTCTCTTCCAGGCAATGAAAAAAGACCTGATTCCTGAGGATCACGCCTTGCGGCTGTTGGAGGCCCAGAATGCCACAGGAGGACTGATGGACCCTGAATACTACTTCCATCTTCCTGTGGATGTTGCCTTGCAGCGAGGATACATAAATAAGGAGACACTTGACAGAATAACTGAACCTACTTTAGACGTGCGAGGTTACATTGACCCGACAACCGATGAAAACCAGTCCTATGCACAGCTACTGAAAAGATGCAGAGTTGATAAAGAAAGTGGATTGAAGTTGCTTTCATTAGCAGACAGAAGACTTCTCTTTAAGGGTCTTCGAAAACAAATCACTGTAGATGAGTTGCTCCGGTCACAAATTATCGACCAAAAGACTTACAATGAGCTCACTGAGGGTGTTGTTACGGTGGAGGAAATCAGCAGAGAGCTCAAGAAGTACCTTGAGGGCACCAGCTGTATTGCTGGTGTGTATGTTGAATCCAACAAAGATCGTCTATCAATTTACCAGGCAATGAAGAAGAACATGATCAGACCAGGGACTGCATTCGAACTTCTTGAGGCTCAAGCAGCTACAGGTTATGTGATTGATCCCATCAAGAACCTGAAATTGAACGTCATTGATGCTGTTAAAATGGGTGTCGTAGGCCCAGAGTTTAAGGACAAACTCCTTTCTGCTGAACGAGCTGTCACTGGCTACAAGGACCCTTATTCTGGCAAAATCATCTCTCTTTTCCAGGCTATGAAGAAGAACCTAATTCTCAAAGACCATGGTATTCGTCTGCTGGAGGCTCAAATCGCCACAGGGGGAATAATTGATCCAGAGGAGAGCCACCGTTTGCCTGTTGAAACGGCGTACGAACGTGGCCTCTTTGATGAGGAAATGAATGGAATCCTCACTGACCCTTCTGATGACACAAAAGGTTTCTTTGACCCGAACACAGAGGAAAATCTCACTTACCTGCAGCTGATGGAGAGATGCATGACAGACCCAGAGACTGGCCTCCGTCTACTGCTGCTGAAAGAAAAGAAGCGTGAGAGGAAGACATCCTCCAAGTCTTCAGTTCGCAAACGAAGGGTTGTCATTGTGGACCCAGAGTCTGGAAAAGAGATGTCGGTTTATGAAGCATATCAGAAAGGTCTGATTGACCACCAGACCTATCTGGAGCTGGCAGAGCAGGAGTGTGAATGGGAAGAAATCACAATCACCTCATCTGATGGAGTCGTGAAGTCCATGATCATTGACCGAAGGTCTGGTCGGCAATATGATATTGATGATGCAATCTCAAGAGGCCTGATAGGTAAGTCGGCACTGGATCAGTACCGAGCTGGGACACTGTCCATCACAGAGTTTGCAGACATGCTTTCTGGAAACACGAGTGGTAACAGATCACGTTCGTCCTCCTTCGGCTCGTCTTCCTCTTACCCCATGAGCCCAATACCTTCCATTAAAACACCAGCAACCACCTGGAATGACCCAACAGAGGAAACTGGACCTGTGGCTGGAATTTTAGACACAGACACATTGGAAAAGGTTTCAGTTACGGAGGCCATTCACAGAAACCTTGTGGACAATATAACGGGCCAAAGGTTACTGGAAGCTCAGGCCTGCACCGGAGGCATCATTGACCCAAACACCGGGGAGAAATTCTCTGTTGCAGATGCTCTCAATAAAGGGCTTGTGGATAAAATCATGGTGGACCGCATCAATTTAGCCCAGAAGGCATACAATGGATTTGAAGATCCTAGAACTAAAACCAAAATGTCTGCAGCCCAAGCTCTGAAGAAAGGATGGCTTTACTATGAAGCTGGACAGCGGTTCCTTGAGGTCCAGTATCTCACTGGTGGGTTGATTGAACCTGACGCTACAAGTCGAGTTTCTATAGACGAGGCTCTGAGGAAGGGCACCTTAGATGCACGTACGGCACAAAAGTTACGAGACGTCAGCGCATATTCGAAGTACCTCACCTGCCCCAAAACCAAACTTAAGATCTCCTACAAAGACGCGATGGAAAGAAGCATGACAGAGGAGGGAACCGGCCTGAGACTACTTGAAGCATCGTCTCAGTCCAGCAAAGGCCTTTACAGTCCGTACAGCATCAGTGGTTCTGGCTCTGCTACTGGATCACGGTCCGGCTCAAGGACTGGTTCCAGATCCGGCTCCAGAAGGGGTAGCTTTGATGCCACTGGGTCAAGCCTCATGACGACCACCTTCTCGTCTTCCTCCTACAGTTCTCCGAGCTACAGCCGGCGATACTGAGGATCGACGTGCTTTACAGAGCTCACCAGATGCCTAAGTCTTTGTGGAATAAAGACGACCTCTGTTCTGCTCTGCACGAGGCCGTTACAGTACTTTAAATATTTAATCTTTCAACAGACCTACATTTAATCTTTTTCTTGTTCGTATATTTTATTCTTGCTTTAGGGCCCGTGTATGTGGCCTCATTAGATTCATGGTCATGTACTGTAAGCAGTTTATTCCATGAATCTAAAACATTTTTTGTTATTCTTGACTTTTTGATTGTTAAACTTTAATAAAAGCATTTAGTGTTCCACTAAAACGCATTGCATTTGCAATGTTGGACTGATGAAAACAATTGGATGTACAAACAGAAATTTCTTTACATGTGTATATTTCTGAAAACTGAGAGAAATTGCTTCTGCAGAGCAGAATATGAAGTCAAATGAAGAGGAATAATAAGAATCTGCTGAACGCTTAATGAACGCAAAGCTTCAAGATCTTTTCTCTCCTGGGCCACGTGCACCGCAAAAACATAAACGCTCATAAAATTCATGATAAACTGAAAGAAGCAGCCAACACCGATGAGAAGAAGACTATTCAGAGAATAAAGCCTGCCGGCTCACGCACGTGGATTTGAAAGATCAAAGTTAATCGCAGCTGTTTCCAGACACTGAACGGTACGTAAAGAGAACCCAGGATTCGCCTCAGTCCACGACTGGGTTACTGACGTTCAACGTTTGTTTCAGAAACTTTCCTCGTGTTCGTGTCCCGATCTTTGCTCCGACGCTTCCAGAGGCCGTTGGCTTCACGTCGCTGGAGTCGCACGAAACGCAGGCTGCTCTGCGCTCGACACGGACCGGTACCAGAACCTGACTGTGTGATAACCTTCAGCCAAAATACTGCGGTTTCACATTAAAACAGAAATTTAAAACATGTATTTGCTTTTATTTTGAAATGGAAGTACAATTCTTATTACTGCTGCCTAAATTATATTGTATTTTGTCCAAAACTGAATATATTGTAGGTTTAACAAACAAGTCTTTATTATACTAAAACACCCTGAGAGCAGAGTTTTACTTGAACTGAAGATCGATTTCAAACAATATGTGCTCAATTTGTTTGAGTCAATTTATTCAAAATGATATTTAAGATGAGGGCAAAATGTTGAATTTAATCCCAAATATTAAGATTTTTATTTATGTAACACCAGAGGAGGTTGCATTAAAATAATATATTGAAACAGATTGCAGAGGATATAATGAACATGCAGTAATTCACCACAAGCAGCTTGTCCGTCACATGAACGAAGCTTCGTGTAATGACTGAACGAAACCAGGCGTTTCCTTGAAGAGCAGCAACAAGAACTAAGATGTCTTCCATTAAACACCAAAGTAGCAAAGTAAACTAAAGCAGATCCGTGTATTTGTAATTAAAGTACCGGTCATACGTGCTCCCTGCTGCTCGGCCCTGTAGAGTTCTGCTGAGCCCGACTAACCAAAGATGGCGGCTCGTTAGCCCGTTTCACCTGCTAACGCGCTAACGCTTGTTGCGAAAACAGAAAAGTCTCGTCTGTTGTCTCGTTTTTAGAACTTCTAAAAAGGATTTCTAGTTGGAACAATAAAAGTTATTTAATAAACTGTTACTTCTGCTATAAAAATGAGACAATAAAAACACTGGCTGTTCAGTTTTTATTTAATCCTTTTTAATTAATGACACACGCACGTCACCATTTCATTTACCCTGCAGTGCATTAAATGACGTAGACGAGATGCTTCAGCGCCAGCTCCATGTACGGTCAATTAAACATCAAAAGTTGATCACATTTGATCGTTTCGACCCATTTATTGTGCATAAGGACTGATACAAAACACGACTTTATCGGCACAAGTTACAACTCTTTAGCCTCGACTCCTTGTGTTTTAGGCTCCAACCGATGTATGTCATCGCCTGTCTTAAAGAAAAATGTAATAAACCTGAATTGTTTTTTAAGTAATTGGAAGTTTGCACGTCACAACAGTTTTTAGTGGAACAGGGAAAACCCTCATATTAAAGACGAAACGGCGACGGATGCAGTGGTTTAGACGCGTGACGTTTGGACTCTGTGGTAAAGCTTGACCCCCGGCGTCCCGTGGCTGCTCTGAGCTGCGAGCTCCGCTTCAGAGATGCAGCTTAAAACACGAAGAAGCTGCAGAACAGACTCCACAAACGATATCAACCTTCGTGCTTTATTATTTTATCAGCTAAACCATTTTACTGTCAGACTAGAAATGAAACCACGCCTCAAAACCCAGAAGACACACAGGATTCATGTTTTTCTTCCAGTCAGTAATCTGTAATCTGTAATCTGTACTGATGATTAAATATATTTGTGTCAGCATGGATGAACGTTTGTGTGAGGAAGATCTTCAAGCTTTGCTCCACACCCACTCTTTGTATTTTACACTAGTTTAAGCTTTAACTCTACCCTGTAAATCTACATATTACCTTTTTATTTTCATACTCTATATTTTTGCTCTGCATGGTTTACTAACAAATGAAAGATGCAAACATTTAAATAACTGTATTCTTTATTGCTTTTTGTTTGTTTTAATGTTTTAAAAGGTTTGAAGGATGTATTTTAGTTGGGCTCATCACGCCTCGTTTCAAATGGTGTATTTATAATAAAAAGGGGACAAAGACATTTATTGTAACTCATACACGATGTAAATAAACAAAGAAAAACTGGTGTTTGTTTATTTTCATGTTGACAGGTTGCATAAACAAAAATAAACACTAAAATGCTTTACATACCGTATCCTATCACTTTATTAATGAGCACTTAAAAACAGCAACAAGGCCGACCAAAGTGCTGCAGAGCAGAACAAACAAGCAAAGAACGCAGGACTAAAACCTCCCAGTTCATTCAAGCTTTATTTCTACAGGTGAGTCCCATTGAGCCTCGAGGACTCTCTTACAAGAGACACCTGATTTAACAAAGAGTGATGACAATCGTAAAAAAGGCATATCAATTACCAAATAGGTAAAGATAAAAACTAAGTGGTTAAGATTATAGAACGCAGACAAGTTGAAGTCAACTCGCACTGTGTCAGAAACCAGGAAATAAAAGTGAGTTTTTAAACAAGACGTAAAAACAATGAGGGAGGGGGTCTACCCGACACGCAGTGGAAACCCGTTCCACAGTTTTGGACCTGCAACAGAAGGTTCTGTCACCTCGGAGCTTAAAACGAGTGCCTGGAACAACAGAAGCATCTGGTCCGACCTCAGAGAGCGCTGTGGGAGATATGGCTGCAGCAGATCAGTGAGCTGAGGGGGGACAGAACTGTTTTAAAAACAGACGGAAGGATTTTTAAATGAATTCTAAAATGAACTGGGAGGCCAGAACTGGAGTAATGTGCTCTCTTTTACTTGTACCAGTTAAAGATCAGGCTGCTGCATTTTGGACCAGTTGTAAACGAGCAATGGAGATCCGACTGATTCCAAACAAAAGCACATTGCAGAAATCGAGCCTGGATGTTCTGAACGCATGTATTACACTCTCAAGGTTGTTTTTGGACAGTGTGGGCTTCAGTGTAGACGGTCACTTCAACTGACAAACAAAAACAGGATTTAACAACCATGTTTACATGACCAGTCTCATGGGAGGGTCCATTTTCACTGTTTCAGGGCTAGAGAGGAAAGGTTGAGACAGTGGTTCTAGGGTTATGAACGTTTTTATGTTCGGTCGAGGGTTATGAATGTTTTTATGTTCGGTCCA